GTCTCCAGCCAAGCACAGACGGGGTCATGGGGACCCCATCCTGGAAGTCGCACAACACCAACAACACCCAAACTCTTCGTGATCTCTTTGACGCCTTTCTGCCAAGTCATGTGCTGTCCACCTCGCGGTTTGCGCCATCCTGAAGGAGGCACGGAGAACAACACTCGTCTCGGTAGACATGCGTAGCACATGACCGAGCCATCGCAGTCGATGATGCTGGATGTTTTCCCGGATTAAGGTGCCTGCAGCACAACCAATTTGACCTATCAATACACCACCGATATACTGCCTAGTACAAAGTATGTTTGTAATAAAATACGGAGAGTACTTCAGGAAAGCTACGCAGAATCATACTAAGCGACAACGAAGTGCAATGGGTCGTCAGCTTCTGATCTCTCTGACAAGACTGCTTGCTCTTCTACTTTGCAGCTTCCTCGACAGACACCTGTTCCGGACCTGAAAAGTGTGCTCCAGGCAGGCCCTTGAATTGACCGGTCTGGTTGTTACCATCTGTAGCTTGGAAATGTGTAACCTCGATGAAAGAAGGCTTCAAGGAATGGGTTATCGCCGAGACGCGCTAGCTGGTTCAAATGTTACGATAAAGCGACTTTCTGAAACCATGCCTAATAGGGACATTCTTATCCCCACTAAAAGTGAAGCGGTGCAAAATAATAAGAAAACCAAGGTGCTATCATATCAATCTTTCCTCTTAAGCATCCCTAGAGGGCTTGGCGGAAACTCATATACACGGAAACCCACACAGTGCATATTCTCCGGTTCTACTAAACTATCCAATAGAAATTCGTTTTTTTTTCCACTCAGGTGTGTACGCATGAATTAGTTTTCCGAAGATCTGTTGGTTCTGTCAATACAAAAAGACAAAATGTTCTACTAGGAATGAACTGAAAAATCCCATCCTAGATGAGAGAAACATCGATTTTTTATGAGGATCTGTGAAGCCTTCCTGGAGTGCAGGTACGAAATCATCTCCCTTAGTTGGGCTTTGTTTTATCCACGTATGTTAATTCATCCGAGTATCCAATACCAAGCCGACAAGTGTCGGAATATCGAATAGCAATTTTTAAAGTTTTGGTTCGATTTGGCTACATGATTTCGTTGTTAAGCACTTGCTGTGATGAGAACAGCAGTGAAGGAATTTCTGGAGTCTCACATCCCTGTGGCAGCACTTGCAAAGTACTCAAACCAATATCCTGTAAATAACGAGTATGAGCTTGAAGGAGACGTGGATCAACTCCATGAAAAGCACCGCATCAAGGAGGTGTGTATTCTCGTTTCTCCTCCCCATATCCAACGCACTTTGGCAAAATGTGATCCTGACACAATTCACGACACGTGTGGAGGGGCAAGTTCCACCAATCAGAGGATAGGTCCACCAACCGTCCAATGGGAATGTTCGCCCAAACCACAAATGACCGGTCAAGGTTGACCTGGATGATACGACCTTATATCACGAGCACGTAGTTTCACTCGCGAAGTGCTCTCATTCACAGTGCACTGGCAATGAAACGTTTTCAGTCAAATTACTCTGTTCATCTCAGCACAACGATGTAACCCATGGCCACACTTGAACCCACTCTTTGAGAGTTCATGAGTGACAAAACAATACCGATAAGGAACAATAAACAAAACCTAAATAAATAAAGAGCGGCACAAAATAAAGCAGGTTTGCGTCAATTGCGGGATTTTGTTCTCTTTTCGTTGGCGAGGGTTTTTGTCTTTGGATATAAGCTTGTCTGTACCGATGGTTCTTTCTTGAGTTGAGTGTTCTAAATGACTCTCCAGGTCTACATACAACAACAAAACGGTCATCAAATTACGAAAGAAAAAACGCTCGCAAAACAAGCAAACTTTCCGTCTAGCAACAGCTTACCTAAAAACTGCATCGATCATCGTTGACCAGTCTGTCTCAGATATCGAGGATACATATTGGCATTCTTTTGTTTCATCTTAGTTCAACCCTTCAGGTTCTCACACTAAAAAACCGGCATCTGAGATCACTTTGATGTTTGGGTTGCAAATTCCACGATGTAAACAAGGCTGACTTTCAACTTGTTGCAACATTTTTCAACAAAGCTATAACGGATTGTGTCTTTCATCACGTTTTTTGCCGCAATCGGCGTTTTTCCGACTGCCAAACTATTCATATGCACTTAGTAGCATCTCACGCATTTGTTGCGTGCTTAAAAAATCTCTATATCACTCTTTCAAAACACCCACTCGACTTGTCTCACGTGAGACCGGCAACATTAACCCCTTAACTGGTTCGGTTCTCGCAGCTTCAGTACCGTTCGGATGAAGAGCCCCGAGTTTGCTTGACACGCAACAAACCCACACCAAACGTCAAACACGTGATTTTCACAAGTCACGACACCATTTGCAAAAGCAACGCAAAAATAAAAGCTTCCCTTCTTTAGGCTGCAATTTGAAGCGGAAATACGGAAAAAAACGATTTTTTTCAAAGGACACTCGTATGTTGTTCTCAGAGTCTGGCACGGTTTTTATGTCTACTCTGATTGGTTTTCAGCGCAAGGCTTCATCATTATTTAGACGTATTGGGATTATCCCGACGGAGATTATTGATGAATCTTGCATAATAGGTTCTTTTTAAATCATATGATCATTCAATTCAAGCAACTTCAAGAAATTTCATTTTCTAGTCAAAACGGAATTTTGCTAAGTATTTTGTACTAGAGCCATCCAAAAAATACAAAATCTTGGTGGATTTTTAAAGGAGGAAACGCTTTGAATTCAAGCAGTTTTCGAAAGGTAGAAGTAATTTCAAATTAAAAGAGGATTAACTTTGGTGTTGGACTCTAAATTATTTTACTCTAGTATGGGGTACTTTGCCTGCTCACCGGAAATCAATCTTTAAACTTGATTTGGCTAGTTTACTATGAACTGGCATCGGACAAAAGATTCTGGTGTGGACAGTATTTCTGTTCCGAAAGAGTAAACAATCACTTTTCGAACTTTTTCATCCTGTGGGTTGAAGCCTCAAAAGGAAATTGACATCACGCAAAAAATTGATCCTCCCACTCTGTACACTCTGTACAACAGAAAGTAACCTTATAA